CTTACTCTTTCAAAGTCTTGATGTAATTTCTGTCCTGTCTTCTTTACAGATTTCAGAATAACCAGTGAATGAAGAAACATTACCATTTGTGGGTTATCTCTTTGCCTTAAAGTGACTGACTTTGAGATTTAAATCATATCTCTCATCGCATTGAATCAATGGTTTATAACTTCACTTTTCAAAAAGATTCTATTATATAAGAACTCACTTGTTATATTCAACAGATGTTGGATATTAGGGATTTTTTAAATGCTAACTTCCTTCTAAAACTATTGTGCTATTTATTTTCCCATAGGGATCTTCAGGAATTTGTAACACCAGAAGGTAGCATTTGAAATCTGAAAACCAAGTGTTTCTTGTTTGTTTCCACAAAAAGTGTGAGCTAATCCCCTCCCAGCCAAAGTCACGTTTTCTTTACTGTCACCATAATATTATAAATTATATTATTTATCATGATAAATAAAGGGAGGAAGTCTGGGCTTTAAACTTTGAACACTTATATTTCAACTGTTGATCTATAAGGCACTGAGAAAGCTGAAATTAGCAAGTAATCTCTCTAAGTCTGTCTCTTCAAATATAAAACATAAGTAATGGTACCTCTTCCTACAAGTGTACCATGAGTCAAACAAGAAAACGAGGAAAACAACATTAATTGAACTAGAGTCACCGTAAGCATCATTTGCATATCCCACCTCATTATATGTGGGAGTCAATCTATGCAGCATTATGTTTAAACCATTCTCGATAAAGGGAAATCTGTCTATACATGAAAGCATTATCACAGGTGAAGGTTTACTTTACATGTAAATATTAATAAATAATGAGACAAAGTATATACAGCCAAGTCAAAAATATAGCAATATCACTCCATGATAAAATATTGGAAAAATGATTAAACACCTCTTTGGACAAAGGAACTATTGTGAAAATTTTATTATAACTTTAATATTCAACAAAATGTTATCTTCCTATTTTGTAGTACTCAGATAAATATAATACATCACTAAAAATAAGCTAGCAGGAGCTGCATAAGCTACATGGAAAATTTAAAATGCCTTACTGGATTTGGAAAGTTCCAAATACTAACGATACATATTTATGTTATCAATTTACTAACTTAAGCCATTGCAAAACTAAGATAATATAAGAGGAAAAAGGACTGCCAGAGAAGTATAGGCACAGTGAAATTAAAATTTTGGACAAATAACTAATATTTTTTAAATACATGTTTTCCTTTTAGAAGTTAAAATATAATCACATCATCCCACTTGTTTCCTTCCTCAAGCCTATCTCATGCATCCACCTTGATCTTCTTCAAATTCATTGCTTCTGTCTCTTTACATATATGAAATAAATATGTAATTATAAATACATAAATACAACCTAGTCAGTCTCTATATTGTTACTTGCATGTGTATGATTTAAGTGCCAGCTGTTTGATATTGGCAACCAATTTGGGGGCTCTTCCTTGGTAAGAAGGTTTCTCTTGCTCTCAGCAATTCTTAGTTGCCTATAGTTCTTCCACGAGCACTGAGTGCCCATGAAATTTTTCTTTCTATGTTAGTATGTCTGTTTCTATGATCTTTATTCTATTGTTTATAGCATATATCCCATATAATGAAGCAGCTAAAATAATTTTTGGATTTTAATTCAAAATTCAAGTTTTATTGGTCAGTTATGTCACTATTTTCTACATTGTACAACTCAGTGGAGAATGATATACAGATATACAGGGATTTGGTTATATTGGTGACATATTCTATCCTAGGGAGAGTACTGGGGAAGTGGGCACCAACATACTTTTACTTCATGTATGTTTCAATGACTTATACATTTTCTATTATGTGTAAACTAGAGGCAGCTTTTTCTCTCCCACCAACCAGCTCCCAAATAGCTACACAGAGACTTCTTATTAATTATGGAAGCTCACACAGTAGCTTAGGCTTGTTTCTAACTAGTTCTTATAACTAAAATGAACACATGTCTATTAATTCATTTTCTGCCTAGTGGCTTTATTACATTTACCCTGTACTGCCCATGCTGCTGTCCTGCTTCTTCTGTTTCTGGCTGGGGCATGATTCCAACATTTTCTTCCCAGCAGTCTCTCTGCCCTGAAATTGCTGCCTAGCTAATCCTGCCATTTAGCTTTATTATTAAACCAATCCCAGTAATATGTCTTCACCTAGTGTAAAGGAATATTCCACAACATTAAAGAATAATAGGAAAATTAATTAACTTCTAGGAAACAATCTCAAGTTAAAAGACAAATGTAACAGCTGGGGAGATGCATCAGTGGGTAAGAATATTTGCCTTTCAAGCATATGGAACTAAGTTCAAATTCCCAGCACCCACATATGTAACGATAAATCTTTCCTCCAAGCTGCCAGAGTGCTGCCATGTGGGCACCTGAAATAACACACAGAGTCTTATGTTAGGTACAGTGCTGCTGGCCAATGATTAAGATTTCTATTGCTAGCTCTGTCTTAAGTATCACCCATAACTATTAATCTATATATTTTATAAACTAATCTTATTGAGGACATCTGTGGAATGAGTCCTGTCTTCCTGGGGGTCACATGGTGACACTTGTCTCTACTACATTTCCCAGAACCCTTCTCAACTCTTAATCCTGCCTAACTTACTCCCCTATTGGTCAACAGTACTTTATTCAACAACCAATAAAATAAACATACACAGAAGGACCTCCCCCATCACACATATCTTGTGCTTTTCTGATTCTCATTTGGTTGCTTTTCTATTGCCTGTTTTTCTTTGTTTAAGAGAGAGAGACACACAGAGAGAGAGACAGACAGAGAGGGGGAAGAGAATATCATTTTCCAAAGAGACCAGTATTTTCACACATAGCTCTAATTGCAGCACTGTGGGAAGCAGAGGAGGAAGATCATTTGGACATGTTGGCTCGATCCTAGCTCATGTTCATAGGGGACTCCATCTAAAGAGCAAAAAGAGGAGAGTGAAAGAAGATGGCCAAAATCTTCCTCTGTCCTCTGTGTATGTGTGATCCACATACACATGTATGCAACACACACACACACACACACACACACACGCACACACGCACACGCACACATGTACATGCACATGCACATGCACATGCACAAGCATGCACACAGACATACACACACATACCCCACACAGCGACATAAACAGAAACACACACACACACACATACACAGATACATATGCATACATGAACACAGCTTAAAAAGGGACCTATAGCAGCATTAAAGCACCAAGCAAGATAACAAAAAAAGATTTAGAAATTATATAGAAGTTAAAAAATGGCAATAAGCTAGTATTGTGCTTTATTTTGGCATCATTAATATTCCCAAGTGTTTGGCATAGGTTTCTCTGCTATTCACTGATTTGATAGGATGAATAATTATAGAATCCAATCCACAATCTAAAATGACAATAATTTCAGTTATAGGTTAATCAATGAAACTGCATTTGACTACAGGTAAAAATCCTAATTGATACAAATTTTCAATCTATGAGACAAATTTCACGAAGTTAGTTATCACTTATTTCCAATTTAGAGGAGCTGAATATGTGAGTGAGAGTAAAGAGATGTATGTGACATCTCTATTCAGAATGAGAAAACGGTGGCTCCCAATCATGAATGTGCGCTAAAATCACTTGAAAATTAAAAGCACACAGATGTCTGGTGACTAAAGCAAGCGAGTAAGCACTCTGTGTAGTCAGAAGCAGTCATTGGTGTCCTTTAAAACTCATGATGGACTGGAGAGATGGCTCAGTGGATAAAAAACACTTGCTGCTGGTAATCTCAGTTTGATCCCTGGATCCTTGAGTAGGAAGACAGAAGTGATTTACAGAAGCTGTCTTCTCAGTTCCACACATGCCATGGAACATGTGCTTCCATACACATGCACAAATCTTACATGTGCACACTATAATAAACAAAAATTTAAAAAACCTGTTTGTTTTTTTTTAACATATGGCTGGGACTGAGACAGACTGCACTAAAACTTAAGAAGCCATGCTCTCAGGTTAGAAATAATATAAAGCAAGATATTTTTGCTCCGTGGACAAAGGAGCTATATGTTTAGATAATAAACTAGGAAAAAAACTCAAACTGAACTGGCTTATTTATTTATTATTTATTTATTTATTATTTAAAGTGATAGCGAACAGGAGTTATGAGTCCACCATCTTCTCCTGGGCAGTACTGAGTAAACCCATTGCACTGATGGAAATGATACACACAGTGCATTAAACTCTAAGGACAAGCCATTAAACTCTAAGAATCAGCAGGAAGATCCAGCCTCAATACATCAAGGATGAGTTGGCAGTTTTTCAGATCTGGGCATGCAAATGCATCTGTGTTTCCTAGCAACCACTGCCTTTACCACAAAGAGAGAGATTTAAGGCAGTCACATTTTATTTCCACTTGTGTTACATGAGCTTTGGTTTATGGCCCTTTCTCTTCTAGCCGCATAATTAAATGACTAAAACCCATCCACAGCATTACCTACAGAACATGATTGGAGAAAGATTAGCCATTAGAGAAAGGGGGTGCTATAATGGCTTTTAAGACCTATAACCATTCACTCTCTTAGGAACCCTATTATAGTTGAGCATTCGTGTTATTGGTATTGAGACTCAATTCACATATATCAAACTGTAAACTCCATTTACAGTCAATCCATATTTCCCGGTTTCTTCTAATAACTTATTTATTTGTGTGTTTCACTTCATAAGAAGTTATGTGTTTCAGAATCTCTATCACTGCCAATGCGTCTGGAGCTGATTCTTATGGCACAATAAACTGTTTCCCACTTCTGAGGAAGTCCATGCATTGCTGTTTCACCTTAGGTTTTAGGCAGTGGTTCATCAATTCTCTTCACAATGATTCATGAAATTCACATATTTACTCTCAGTTCAAATGATCAGCAATAACATATGCAATCTTTTCCCCCATAGACACAGTCTATGAACCAGGGATATCAGACAACATGTCCAGATGACTCACATGTTTATTTATTTTAATTTAAAACAATTACACTAATAGTGTGGGTTCACGGATTTACATTTCTCTCTTGAGAAACATAGAGTTGGCCAAGATTACTAGGTAAGCATACATAGTAGGCCATGGCAATGCTCAAGTGCTCATCAAATACATTTAGCTGACAGAATAGCTTTAAGTATCCGGTGAGCCTTCATTTCCTTTCCTTCCATCATGCTTGCTTAAGTAAAAGATTTTCCCCTTTTCTGTGTTTAAATTCATTTCCTTGACAACAAGCATTGCAAATCCCTCAATGATTTCTCTGTGCCAAATGAATTTCTGTCACAAGGTTCAGATGAAATCTGTCTACTCCTGGTGACCAAATTGATCCAGCTGCAGCACAAAATGAAACAGATCATTCATCTAAGTTTGGCTATGCCAAAGCTTGTTCCCTCCTCCACAGCACAGTTTCTGAAAACTGGGCAACTGACTTTATCCCCCAGCCTGAGCTTAGGCAGTTGAGTGTTTTCATTACCTGTGGACATCAATGGCTTTGGGACACAATTAATCAAGTTGGAATTGCTTCATTATTTTAATGAAGGTTTTCTCTTTCCCTTAGCTAGACTAAAAAAAATTTCCAGAGCAAAGACATTTTTCTCATTATTTTTGAATATAGAGAGTGAAGGAATTAAAATGAAAATATAAAAATCCTGCAGAAGAGATCCCACTTTGCTTTCTGTGGCTATTCTCTTGGATCAGCAAGGAAGCTAGATGCAAAACTGTCCAAAAGAGAGAGAAAGGCACTGTGGCTGCCAAGGTTCCATTCCTGTCTTCAGAAGCTTCTTTTTAGATTGAGTATCATTTTTTTAAATTTTTTTATTTGAATTACAAGCAAGATTGTTTTACATGTCAATCCCAGTTCCCACTCCCTCCCCTCCTTCCCTATCACCCCCTCCCAATTAATACCTTACCTATCACATATCCTTTCTGCTCCCCAGGGAGGGTGAAGACCTCCATAGGGGGTCATCAGAGTCCATCATGTCCTTTGGGATAGGGCCTAGGCCCACCCCCATGTGTCTTGATTCAAGGAGGAGTATCCCTCTATGTGGATTGGGCTCCCAAAATCCACACCTATGCTAAGGATAAGTACTGAACTACTACAGGAGGTCCCGTAGATTTCCAAGGTCTCCTCATTGAAACCCACATTCCTGGGGTCTGGATCAGTCCCATGCTGGTATCCTAGCTATCAGTCTAGGGACCAAGAGCTCCCCATTGTTCAGATCAGCTATTTCTGTGGGTTTCACCAGCCTGGTCTGGACCCCTTTGCCCATCACTTATTCTTATCTGCAACTGGATTCCAGTTCAGTTCAATGATTAGTTGTTGGTGTCTGCTTCTACTTCCACCAGCTGCTGGATGAAGGCTATAGGATGGCATATAAGACAGTCATCAATCTCATTATCAGGGGAGGGCATCTAAGGTAGGCTCTCCTCTGTTGCTTAGATTGTTAGTTGGTGTCATCTTTGTAGATCTCCAGACCTTTCCCTAGTGCCTGATTACTCTGTAAAACTAAAATGTCTCCCTTTATTATGGTATCTCCTTTCTTGTTTTCTTCTATTCTTCCCCAGACTCAACCTTTCTGCTCCCTCATGCCCTCCTCACCCCTCCTCTTCTCCCCTTCTCATTCTCCTAGCTCCCTCCCCCACCTCCCTTGCTCCCAATTTGCTCAGGAGATCTTGTGCCTTTCCCCTTCTCCAGGGGACCATGTATGTCTCTCTTAGGGTCCTCCTTGTTTACTAGCTTCTCTGTCAGTGTGGATTGTAGGCTGGTATTCCTTTACTCTACATCGAAAATCCACATATGAGTGAGTACATATCATGTTTGTCTTTATGTGATTGGGTTACCTCACTCAGAATGGTTTCTTCTAGTCCCATCCATTTTCCTGCAAATTTCAAGATTCCATTGGTATTTTTCTGCTGAGTAGTACTCCATTGTGGAAATGTACCACATTTTCTCTATCCATTCTTCAGTTGAGGGGCATCTAGGTTGCTTCCAGGTTCTGGCTATTACAAATAGTGTTGCTATGAACAGCGTTGAATAGATGTCCTTGTTGTATGAATGTGCTGCTTTTGGGTATATGCCTAAGAGTGGAATCATTGGATTTTGTGGTAGATTGATTCCCATTTTCCTGAGGAATCACCATACTGATTTCCAAAGTGTGAGTTTCTTAAGAAACACATTTTTTGACTAGGAAGATGAGGATATGTAGGTATTTGGGAAATAATGTAAAAATAAGCGATTTTATTGCTCACAAATAAGATCAGTTTACTGCACTATAGTGAATTCATTGGTATGTTTACAGGTAGAAAAAATAGGATATACATTGAGGGTGAGCACTTATATTTTTCTTTTTTCTTTTTTTATTTAAATTAGAAACAAGATTGTTTTACATGTTAATCCCAGTTTCCTCTCCCTCCTCTCCTCCCCTGTCCACCACTAACACCCTACCTATTCCATACCCATTCTGCTCCCCAGGGAGGGTGAGGCCTTACAATGGGGGGTCTTCAGTCTGTTATATCCTTTGGGATAGAGACCCCCCCATGTGTCTAGGCTGAGGGAGTATCCCTCTCTCTATGTGGAATGAGCTCCCAAAAATCCATTCCTATGGTAGGGATAAGAACTGATCTACTACAAGAGGCCCCATTGATTGCTGAGGCCTCCTCACTTACAGCCATGTTCATGGGGTCTGCTGGTTTCCCAGCTATCAGTCTGGGGATCATGAACTCCCTCTTGTTCAGGTCAGCTGTTTCCATGGGTTTCACCAGCCTGGTCTTGACCACTTTGCTCATCATTCCTCCTTCTCTGCAACTGGATTCCAGTTCAGTTCAGTGTTTAGCCATGGGTGTCTGCTTCTACTTCCATCAGCTGCTGGATGAAGGCTCTAGGATGGACAAGATATCCTGAGCAAATTGGGAGCATGGGGGGAGGAAAGAGGGAGCTAGGAGAATGAGAAGGGAAGAAAAGGAGGGGTGAGGAGGTCATGAGGGAGCAGGAAAGTTGAGTCAGGGGAAGAATAAATTCAAGCAAGATAAGAGATACCATAATAGAGGGAGCCATTATATGTTTAAAGAGAAATCAGGCACAAGGTAAATGTTAGGAAATCTACAAGGATAACACCAACTAACAATCTAAGCAACAGAGGAGAGGTTACCTTAAATGGCCCCCTACTGATAATGAGATTTTTTACTAACTTATGTGCCATCCTAGAGCATTCATACTTAGCCTTCATGTGAGAGTTTATTTTTACTTAAACATTGATGCCCAAACTGTAGTGCATAACAGAGTAATCTACATCATGGATTGCTGGGCCCCAGAAAAGGGGTGAATGAGAGTAACAACATGCAACTGTGCAACAGGGTTCAAATATAGAGTTTGTTTTGTTTTGTTTTGTTTTGTTTTTTATTAGGGAAATGAATCAGAAAATGTGGAAAGGCCATCAGGGAAACCAGCCTCCT